TTAATTTTTCAGCCTTCCCATTGCCTGAAGTTCTGCTAGCAAGGAAGTAGGGAATGGGTAATGGGTAAGGTAGGCAACTAGCAATCTCTACTACAGGTATTAACCACCCCTCCCCACCCCCAAACACATATGGCCAAATTAAGACACTCCTCTCTGCCCAACAGCATGCTTGAATTTATTACGTGTGAATTGATCTAAAGCTTTCCTGACCTTATTTTTTTAAGGTTATACTGTCTTTGCTGAGCTTTTAGTGCTAGTCTAAGTCCCACAGCATTATTTCTCTGCAAGCAGGTGTTCAGTGGAAAGAGCCCTAGATTTGGAATCAGGGAAACTGGCTTATAGTTCAGTTCTTCACTGGTTTGTTGACTTTGGACATCTGAGCTTCCATTTCTTCCTTTGGATAATGGAAATAAAATACTTTCTCTGCCTGTGTTTTACAGGCTTCTTAGAGATGAGTACCTTTATGTCAATGTACACAAAAGTATGTGGAAACAGTAAAGCATAATGCAAGTCAATGCATGATGTTGTTATGATGATGATGACATTCAAAGCCAAACTCTTCATCTTCCGAACAGGATAGGGTGTTGCCCAACTTTTCTGTTATGGCAAGTCACAGAGTCTGGAAACTTCGTCTTCCTTATAGCTGCATCTGCCTCCCACTCTACATCTCTTTGGTCATAATAGCCTTTGGTATTATTCTCTTAGTATTTCTCCATCTCTACGATCTCTGCTTTCCTCACTGCCACCCCTTGTTCAGGGCCTTACTATCACTCATCTCAGCTGGCTATTGCAATAGTGCTCTGAGGCAATGCTAGCCCCTATAGCTCCATACATTTCTATCTGGCCTGTATCTTTATTGCAAATGGATATAATTACTGTGGGAATGTGCCATGGGAAAAGTACTTATTAAATATTTATAGTATTTAGTAAATAGTTTTTCTACTTGTAGACATTAGGCTGTTTTTATATTGTAGTAGTGGATATTTTATGTGTGTGTATAGGTACATGTGATATACAGAAATATGTATATAGTTTATGGTTAATTACTTTTTAAAAGTAAATTCCTATGGCATGAGTTACTAGGTTCATGAGTGGTTTTTTGAGACTTCTTCATTTTTCCAGTTGTTTCCCCAAGGATTGTTCTAATTTATATGTTGCAAACAAGAGTGTTATCATGGATGTATAATAGCTTTTCATAATCTAGCAAAATTTTGAAAATATATAAGTAAATGCAGCATTTCATACATGTGGAATCCAGGTACTCTAAATCCGAAAAGATTTGGTGTGTTGCAATCTAGGTAACTTTGTACTTGTATTTGTAGGCCAGTAAGGGTTAGACCTTTTTTT